GAACACATGCGAGGGACAAGGCATGGAGGCAGTCACAGCCTTTAGAAAATCATGGTCGTCTGGCTTCTGGCACTCAGCTTCGAAGGCCAAAATTCCACTTTTATCATTTCATTCAGTCCAAGGTTAATCCAATACGAAGAAAATGACCACTGTAGACTAAACTCACAGAAGACAAATATACATCTCAGAATGTCATTTAAGAGAATTTGAAACAAGAATAATTAACCCAGTCTCTTTATTTTCTTTTCTTCAACTGGAGAAAAAAAAAAAAAACATGCGAAGTTTCCATAGAGTGTGGACAGAACAGGAGGCATTAATGATAGAACTTAGATAGCAGTGTCATGATGGCAGGCTCTGGGAGTCAGTCCAGCAGCCAAATCTTACAGAGCAAACGCAGGGGCCAGCAGGGCCTCTCCTTCCGCAGCCTGGCCTGGCCTCCCTACTGAGGTCCTGCTTTTTTTCCTTTCCCTTTTCAGGGCACTCCATCAGGTTACTCGGAGGTCGTACAGACCCGGAAGCCAAGCTCTCTTCTAAGTGACTGCCTTTCTCCACTCTGAATCATTATAGGCTTACTTTAACTTTCATTCACAAAGGGCAGCTTTATTGAAAATCCTTGAGGAACTGCTGTCCCTGTGTATTTTCTATGTGTTAGGGTCAAATCGCACCCAGATCACCCAGCATGGAACAGACTCACTGATGAACCACTCATGAATGTTCTGCTCACATGTCAGAGTCAGCCACACACACGTCACCATGGAGCTCTATTAGAAACTCTTATCTTTTCTATGTGCCTAATCACAACTCCAGCTCAGTTTTCAGAACCACAAGCCCATTAATAGCTACAAAGAAAAAACATTCAGATGTTAATGTGCATCTTGTTTCAATACACACCTACTTTTACACTCACGTACACACTGGCACACTCATTCATCCCCTGCGGTGACACACACACCTACTGGCAAGCGGGCATGACAAACTACAGCCAATGGTTCTGATTCCATGCTTGTGACCACTGATCTGTGTGCCCAGGCAATGCTTGTGGAAGCTCTGACATTTGTCACCATGTGATGGGTTGGTGGAGGGGATGGAGGGAATGAGAAAGCTTGCCCAGTGGATTTTGTGAACCCTCTCCTGAGTGCTACTCTTCTATTTCTGACACTAGACCCAAGAAACCAAATGGTACCTTAGGCTCAAATACACTAATGAGAAGAGGAATTTGGCAAGTAATCCAGGTCCTTAGGCTTCTTTTCTTGAATGAATTAAGAAATTAATGGATTCATACATACATGCATACATGAATGCATACATACTTTTACAAAGACTCCTGGGTTGTAACCAAAGTTTTACAAACTTAATTACAAACATAAGAGTAAGCAATTTTGAAATTAACTCAAATACTGGAGCATAGACTAGTATTTCTCTCACATGAAACCTTGGCAATTACTATGCATCTTAGTGAAGACTTGGATTTTCTCCCTCACAAGTCAGACCTCTCCAGGGCTGACTTGTTCAACAAGGTGTTGGGCACCTGAGGCTTCAGTGGAGAAGCCCCACCAGTATCACTTGTCTTCTGTCTTCCCCAGCTTCATCCCAGTCAAAAACCTTTAATTAGCTAGTTACCATAATTACTCTAGCTGGGGACCTCGTTTGTTCTCCTTTCTGCTATTCCAGGCTCTACCACTTCTGTGCCAGAGGGACCTTTCTATCACAGCTTCTCTCTGCTTTTTTGTTTTTCCCTTTCATGATCAAAACAAAAAAGCCTGGGGGAAAGAAATCATCTCTCCTTCTGTGTCTAGGTAAGACCCTATAACTAACTACCTTTCCCAATCAGGAAAAAGTTTCCATGACAACCATGCTTCCTGATGCCACTGCGAACATAATGCTCACATCAAACAGACAGTTCTTTACCAAGCTTCATGGTGTCTCTACTTCACCATTGCTACAGGCCTCTAACAAACCAGTGTTTGCATGAACTGTATCTTAAAAGGGTTTTCCTCACAGTAATCATTAAAAAGCACAGCAATATACTAAAAAGTATGATAGAGACACAGACTTAAGAAAGAGCACGTGATGTGGTGGAGGCATGCGTGAACAGGTGAATGGAGAATCATTGAGACATAACAGTTGGGTGACTTACACCACAGTCAATGGCCTAAACTTTGAGCTAAAAGCTAATGAGGTTGGCATTCCTGCTTTATGACCTTGGATAAGTGACTTTTTCCTCTCTGAGCCCCTATAGTCTCTCTGTAAAAGATAGAGACTGAGATACTTTGTAGGACGGTTTGGAAGGTTAGCTGGCAAAAAAGCAAAGATGCAAAAAGGTCTCATTACAGTGTCTGGTACATAGCAGGAATTCAACAAAGGGGAATTAGCATGTTGTCATTGTGAAGGCAAAGAGTTGAATTGGAATGAGTCTGAACAAACAATCACAATATTCTAATTGACTATTAACATTTGCTAGTGGAGAATAATAGTATAAGCAGTAGATATTTGAAGATTTTCTTAGCAACCTTTTCTCAGGCTATTAAGTCATGTCTGCAATTACAGGAAGGAATCTATTCATTTCCATTCCTGAGACTTAAGAGGATATACCTGGGAAATCTCCAGGGTTCATCTAAATCTCTATTTATAGCTCTGCATAAGCATTTGTTTAATTTTGAAACAGAAGCAAGGAAAAAAATGGATTAACCATTAAATTATTTGTTCGATATTCCATGTTTTCAACAGCAATCAAAGTATTTCAGTTCTCTAGGGGCAAGAAAATAAGGACGTGCATTTTTATATTTTCATTGTTACACAGCTCAAATTTCATTTCAAAATCAGAATTCATGTTGTGGAAAACACTCACTATGCTCATTATTGAACAAACTCCCATATTCCAACTCCTTCCCACTTCATTCTTGATGTCCTCAGACAGCTAAGAGGGGGTCCTTCCAAACAAAACCAATCCAAACCTTTATTTTTAAAAGACAAGACTCTTTTTGCCTTTAAAAAAATCTCATTTATGTCAATATGGAGGACTATATATATAGATAAACCCTTCCTATTAAAAACTCTTAAGATGGTGAATAAAATAATCTTTAAAAATGTGTTTTACAGTATACATATTCCTCAAAAAATTAAAAACAGAATTATCATATAATCCAGCAATCCCTCTTTAGGGTGTATATCCAAAGAGAATGAAATCAACACCTTGAACAGACATCTGCGCTCCCACATTCACTGCAGCAACTATGTTAGGCAAGACATGGACAACCTAAGCGTGTGTTAATAGGTAAGTGGATAAAGAAATTGTGATGTATATATGGCTGTATATATACACACATACATTTAGGTATATAAATACATATATTTATATGTATACATATATATTTGTGTGTGTGTATAATATATATAATGGAATATTATTCAGCCTTTAAAATGAAGGAAATCTTGCCTTTGCAACAACATGGATAAACCTGCAGGTCATTAATGCTGAGTGAAATAAGACAGGCATGCAAAAAGGACCAGTATTGTATGATCTCACAAATATGTGAAATCTAAAAGAGCCAACTCATAGAAGCGGAGAGTGGAATGGTAGTTCCTAGAGGTGGGAGTGGTGGGAAATGGGGAAATGTTGGTCAAAGTATACAAACTTTCAGTTAGTTCTAGAGAGCTAATGCACAGCATGCAGACTACAGTTAACAATACCAGACTGCATATCTGAAATTTGCTAAGAGTGTAAGTCACAGGTGCTCTCACCACAAAAAAAAAGTATGTGAGGAGATGGATGTGTTAGCTTGACTGTAGTAATAATTCCACTGTGCAAAACATCAATGTAAACATATACAACTTTTATTTTTTAAATGAAAACAATTGAAAAGAAAAAAAAAGTGTTTTAAGTGGCACGTGAGCTAACAGAAAAGTAAAGGAAATCCTTGAAGGCCAGAAACAAAAAAACAAATCCATAGAGGGTATCTGGTATTCCTGCTAGAATTTGCCATGGGGCACCTGCCTATCTTGGTCGACAAATTTTTTTCCTATAAATAGCTAGATCATAAATATTTTAGGTTTTTCAGGACATAAAGACTATGTTGCATCCACTCAACTCTGCCATTATGGCATGAAAGCATTCATAGATAATATAAAAATAGATGGGTAGAACCATGTTACAATAAAACTATTTATATAAAAGGCAGCAGGCAGGCCTTAGCCTTTGAGCCATAGTTTGCCAATCCCCTCCTTATAGCCTAACTTTTAATATTTTTCCCTCAAGAAAACACGTCTGGTATATGACATGTTTTGGACCCATGTGGTAAACTGTTGCAGTGACAGTCCCAATTTCTTCATACCTCCCTGTACACATGCCTCTGGGGAGGCCCTCCCATATTGACTCTAAGCTAGACAATATGACTTGCTTTGGTCAATGGGACAAGAGTAAATGTGATACCAAAATAGCCTTGAAAAAGTGCTGGTAGAATAGGGCTTGTCCTCTCTTGCTGGTCCTGGACTCTCTGTATCTACCACCATGTGAATTACTCAGGCGAGCCTACCAAAGACACAAGGTCCATCATCCCCATTAGCCCAACCAACAGCAAGCATTAACCAACAGCCAGCGCCAGTTGCCAGGCATGTAAGTGAAGCCATCTTAAACCAACCGGCACCCAGGCACCCCTAGTTGCCTGGAGTCCCATGAGGGAGTCTAGATAAGACCTGCAGAAGAACCAACAAGCTGAGCACAGCCTAAATTCCTAAACCATAAGCTAATCAATGATTGTTTTAATGATTAAGTTTTGGAGTGACTGTTTGGCAGCAAAAGCTAAATTATACATTCCATAGGAAGTTTATTATCTCTAAAATGTAAAGTGAGAGAGGCCAACATGTCTGTTTACAGAAATGAGAAAGAGAAAACTGAGGAAACAAAAAAATTATTTTTCCATTTTAAAGATCCTATTACCTACTAGCAGGGACAAGCCCTTCCTTGGTCCTCCTAGTAATATGATGGAGCAAATTCTTCTTACCTGAGCAGACTTCTTCATAAGTAGGATTGGGAGTGTAGCCTCCTGCATAACCAACTTGAGTTGAATATACTCCTTTCAGGGTCCAGAATTTCCTCTCAGCTCCCCAGAAACAGCCCATTCCTAAGAAAAACGTAAGACACTGATTATTCCTTTATCAAAAATAAGATAGTCATTGCATTTTATAAGATCTGTTACACAGAAAAAGTTGCCCCTGTCATTTGGTAACCAAATGACTAAGATTTTATCTTTTAAAGTAGAGTTTCTACATTTAAAAATAATTTTATTTAATATTATTTGCATACACCGTTTCTTTGCTTTAGTTGTGCAAAATCATAAAAAGCCTTACATTTTAATTAAGTTAGTAAAGATACACTTTTGCAAATAACATAGTAAAAGGATAACTACATTTGATCAATTATTTCCACACTTGATTCATTATAGACTTGTCAAAACATAATAACTTATATTAATAGTAGAAACTGATTTAACAATCAGCAACCATGTCATCATTTCTTTAAAAATTCTAACAAGGAAAGATAACACTAAAATACCAATTTAAATGGGAAAACTTCCCCAAATCAACACATATGGACAAAGTATTCAATTAACAATTTCACATATATGTTGTTTTTAAAATCTTTTTCAGTCATTATACAATTTCATGTGGTAAATCACAGCTCCCCCACAAGAACATTTTTTTCTGAGTTCTATTACTGAACATAATGAATGAGGGAAAAGAGAGGAGAAATGCAGGGAAGGAGAGAACAGCAATAAACAAACTGACAAAAGTAGCATTCCATTCAACTAGCAAACACGGTGTTCTGGATTCCTTTAAACGTAGGAAAACTAAGACCCATCTCCCAAGAATGCACATACTTACACACATCGAAAACGATGACTTACATTTCCCTGGGCTCCAAAGTGCATTCATTTTCTACCATGAGTTTCTAACTGTGCACAACTGCTATTCTGTGGCTAATTTCTAGATGTAAACAAGATTACTGCCTCACTCAAGTTTTATATGGCACTATTACATCATATATAATGAAGATCTTGGGTGGAACAACAGTTGGCAAATTAATATATGCATCGTACTACAATCACTAAATTTGTTAGATTCAATGGCATAGCTGAAAGAAAAATTAGACAAAAGTTTACTGAAATTCTTGACACTTGGTAATATTCTACTTTAAATATTCAGAGCAACAATAACCAAAAAACAATGTGCATAATATTACAAAACTATATTTGCTCAAATGAGGAGGGAAATATACCAACCAAAAATAGGTTAATGGTTAAAAAATATAATAGAGCCAAGTGATGAAATTTAATGCAATAAAAAAAATTACTGTTGTGATAACAATGCAACATGGAAATATGTATATCATTATGTCATTATTGCCTGAAGCTAAATTTACAATGAAAAACAATTATGTGCATGTTTTTATTACAACTATGAAAAAATATTCATACCAAAGTAGGCCAGAAAAAAATACAGTTATAACCATAACTGATTTACAGTGGTAAAAATATAGAAATCTTTTTTCAAGCTTTTCTGTAACAGTCATATCACTTCAAAAATTAAAAATGTATACATTTTTAAAAGGAAAGCAAAAAATTTAAAGAAAACATAAGCAGATGCATTATCTGAGTAACACATTGCTAGACACCATTTTCTTGTTTGCAAAGGAACTGTCTGCTGCTCATGCATATAACTAAATATTTACTATTTATAAAAATTGAGTATCCTCAAGCCTCTGGCACAAGGACTCACAATTAGTTTTACTTCATTGCATTTCTCGGATGAGAGAATTATGTTAGTCAGTGTTCTTCAGAGAAAAAGAACCAATAGAATATTCTATATAATAATGCATATATATTCTATTGAGAGAGAGAGAGGTATTATGAGAAATTGGCTCCCACAATTATGGAAGTTAAGAAGTCCCATTAGCTACAGTCTGAAAGGTGGAGATCTAGGAAGCTGGTAGTAATTCCAGTCCAAACCCAAAGGCCTAATAACCAGGAGCACCAATGTTCAAGAGCAGGAGAAGGTGGATGTCCCAAGTCACACAGAGTGAACTCGCCCCTCCCCTGCCATTTTGTTCAATCCTGGCCCTCAATGGGCTGAATGATGCCCATCCGTATCAGTGAGGGAGGTCTTCTTTACTCAGCCTACCAATTCAAATGCTAATCTCATCCAGAAACACCCACACACACACACACCTCGAAACAACGTTTTATCTGGGGACCCCTTACCCAGCTCAAGTTGACAGGTAAAATTAACCATCACAGGAATGATGGCAGGAAATCTCTGGAGACAGCTGGGTAAAAAGTGATCTGGGCAGCATCACCGAGCATAAAAGGCCACAAGCACATCCAGGAGGTGCACAGGGCACCAGGCCAAAGGCACTCTATCCCCTGAGGTTCAGAAGTCGGCAGGTTCATTGAATAAAATATTTCCGAATCACACAATGACTAACAGTGATGGTGCAGCAAGTATTCTACAGGCCAATATATCCTGGGCTATTTTAGCAGCCAGCCTACACTGACCATGGTCTACAGCCCCATTTAGATGGCCCCAGACTCTACATCCTCTGCATATACCTTCGCTATATCCGCATGGTATAGGTTTATAAAACTCAAATGGGCTTGGCCAAACCGAACAAGATATTTGCTACAAGAAGAGAGATATTCCATCTCCTTTGGACGGTTAACAGCAACCAAGACAAGAGCCCTGCTAGAGGGGAAGGAAGGAAGACCCAGCTCCAGCTGGGCGAAGGCCTCCAGGGGCCCGCGTATGGCTGAAGTAATGTCTCAGGGGCCTGTGTATAATCAATGTCAACATCTCTGGAGAGGTACTTTAGGATAGGGGCTGTTGTAAGAATAAAACTCTTCCTTGAAGCACTAAGATGTTTTAACTAGTGCCTTCCAGTATGATCTACTAATAGAACCATTCTATTATTTGGTTTTGCATATGTGAATGGGGGGTATTTAAACAGACAGGTTTATCTATGGCAAAGTTTTCAGAATTTACAATTATCTAATCAACAATATGAATATCATCAAATAAGATACAGTATGCACTATTTTCTTTAAAATATTTTAACCCTTTATTATAAAGCAAAAGACAGACACAGAAAAACCACACAAAACAAATGCATATGTCAATGCATTACTGCCCGGTGAATATCCTTGCAACCACCACTCAGATCAAGATACAGAGCTTTGCCATTCACCCAAGAATTCCCTCTTTGTATCACACCCCAATCACAATACTTTCCTTCCTCCAAAGTAATCATTTGCCTGACTTTTATTGTAATCACTTCCTTATGTATCTTTCTATTTTTATCACTCAAAGTGCCCGTCCTAATACTATTGTTGGGTCGTGCTCAGTTTTAAAAATTTGACATCTTTAAGCTCTTTTAATTGACAAGTTCCCTCTCCATTCTTTTCCTTTTGTTTTATCCACTGAAGAAAATGTGGGCCACTTGACCTGCAGAGATTCCCACAGTGTGGATTTGGTTATTTGTATTCTCATGGTGCAATACAACTTGTTCCTCTATCCTCAGTATTTCTTGCAAGTTTGCTGCTAGATCCTGAGGCTTGATCAGACTCAGATTTCACCCTTTGGCAAAAACTTTGGTGGTACTGTGTTGTTGTTTTTTTAACTTTAATTTTTTTTCCCGCTTTAATGAGATTAAACTGACAAATGGCATTGTGTAAGTTTAAGGTATGCAATTTGACAATTTGACACACGTATATATTGTGAAGTTATTAAAATAAAGATAGTTAACCCATCCATCGCCTCGCATAATTACATTTTTTATAGTGAGAACATTTAAGATCTATTCTCTTAGCAACTTTTAAGTATAAAGTACAGCATTATTAAATATAGTCGCCATGGTGAATATTAGATCCCCAGAACTTACCTTGTAACCAGAAGCTTGTACCCTTTGACCAACATCTTCCCATTTCCCCTACCTCCAAGCCTATGGCAATCACCATCCTATTCTGTTTCTATGAGTTTTGACATTTTTTAGATATCAAGTGAGATCATAAAGTATTTGTCTTTCTCTGACTTATTTCAGTTAGTGTAATGCCCTCAAAGTCCATCCATCTTGTCACAAATGGAAGGATTTCTTTCTTTTTCTATGACTGGATAGTATCTTCTGTCTGTGTGTGTGTGTGCGAGAGAGAGAGAGAGAGAGAGAGAGAGAGAGAATCCCCCACATATTCTTTAACCACTAATCTCTTGATGGACACTTACGTTGTTTCCATCTCTTAATTGTTGTGAAAAATGCTAGAATGAACATGGGGGTGCAGATATCTCTTCAAGATAGCGATTTCATTTCCTTTGGATAAATACCCAGAAGTGGAATTGCTTGATCATATGGTAGTTCTATTTTTAATTTTTTAAGAATCTCCATACTGTTTTCCATAATGTCTATACCAATTTACATTTCCACCAACTGCAGTTCCCTTTTTTCCATGTCCTCACCAATACTTGTCATCTTTTGTCTTTTTTGACAAAAAAGACAGGTGTGAGGTGATATGTCACTGTGGTTTTGATTTTGCATTTCCCTAATCGTTAGCAATGTTGAGCATCTTTTCATGTACCTCTTGTCTATCTGAATGTCTTCTTTAGAAAAATGTCTATTCAAGTCCCCTGACCTTTTTTAATCAAATTATTTGGGTGTTTTCATTATTCTCAAATATTTTTTCTATACCATTGCCTCTTCATTCTGTGGCTGGTTTCTGTTGCTTTGCAGAAGCTATTAGGTTTGATATAATCCCACTTGTTTATTTTTGCTTTTGCTTCTTGTGCTTTAGGTATAACCAAAATATCACTGCCAAAGCCAATGCCAAGGAGTTTTTCTCTATGTTTTCCTCTAGCAGTTTTATTGTTTCAGGTCTTATGTTCAAGTCTTCAGTCCATTTAAAGTTCATTTTTATGAATATCCATTTTTCAACATCATTTACTATTTTTGATTCCATTGTCAATTGTTCTTTCATCACATATTTGTAGGTTTATTTCTGGCCTCTCTACTCTATTTCACTGATCTGTGTGTCTGTTTTTATGGCAGTACCATTCTGTTTTGATACTATAGCTTTGCAGTATA